TATGGGAATTTTAGGACTGAAGATAGGGATAGGAAATGATTGAGCCTCCTTTTATCTGACTTACACGTCAAAACACGGCGGTTTTCTGTACAGCCACGATATCAATCCAGACGAGTAGGTCCTCTCCTGCAATTACTATTAAAATAATGAATAAAAGCTTATGTACCAACTTAAAAAAATAACACATTATGAAAATTACAAATATCTAAAGCGAGTATAAAATAAAAATGTCCGCCAGTGTTCAGCGTACGAGCGAGTAATGGAAAATACATTTTGTTTGTACATTTTCGAGGAGCTGCATTCTGACGTCATTAATCTGCGCATATTTATGTAACGTAAGAGCTCCACACTGTTGATTTTACAAGGTACCCCGCTTTAAAATATTATTGGGTACGTAAATAACAGAGCTGCATACAAAAAGCAAGTCTAAATTCAACATGGTAAAGTTGAGATCACCCTGTAGTGCTGTAGAGGGTTCAACACTAAGCATTGTGCTAGTATAAGTTGGTACGAATTTTCATTATTAAAAGTAGTTTTGTAAAAACGTCAAAGTTTCAGTTGCAGCCGTGAGTTGTTATTGTGCAAGGAGTTTTATGTATTTTTAAATCGGTTGCTTTGCTTTGCAATTGTAACTCGATCTGAATGATACTACAAAATACAAATACCTACTAATAGTTTTCAGCATTTTAAAACTTTTTATAAACAAGATTTTGTTAGGTGCCACTTCAATTCAGATGATTTTTTGTAGATTTTGTTAACAACAGCTTTTCCTAACATTTATGGCTATGGTAACGAACATTGAAACATTTGAGATCAATCTTAACAAACAAACATTAATTCAATTCAATTCAATTCTTTATTTGCATTCCATATGTTATACAGGTGATATTTTATAAAGTTGACACAATATATTAGAAACAATATGGACCCGTTAGGGCACAGCATAAAGAGTTTGGAGAGGTTTATTTATTTTTTATTTATTAATTACTCTTACTCATATTATAAACTGTTACGCTGCTTCGCTCCACTTGATCGCAGCGTGATGTTCTAGCCTATAGCTCTCAGGAACATTTTTGCTATCTATTATACATTTTATTATATTAGCTCAGAATACAGAACAAACCAGAATCCGCGTTCACTCATAATTACATGTCGTCAAATGTGTCCAAAAACAATACGAGCCGCACTTCCCACCCGCGTAGTGTTGCCGACAGTGGAACAATTCCCTTGGTTTGGGGTAATTTTACAACAGGAGGGTAAGATATAATTGAATAAATTTATAAATAAATTTACGATAAATGCAATAGACTAGTTGTTCACACATTTCATGAAGGTATCATAAAAGTTGACGATTTCTGGCTGTGTTAATTTTACACCTTTACACAACAAATAAAACAAAACTTCAATAAGTGCGAAGGTTTATTGCGTTCCCTTTTGCTGGTTTAGTTTATTTTTAATATATATTGTCTTTAGACTAGGCACTAAAGATTAGAAGTCTACTTACTTTACTTAGTTTCTGAGATTAGCGCATTCAAGCAAACAAACAAACAAACTCTTCAGCATTATAATTAGTATATGTAGATATATCTTAGTAGGAAATGCTGTTTTCAAACCACCTTTGTCATAAATTTATCTCTTCAAAGTGATTTGAGATAACTATGCTCTGGCTAGATGGTTTCCAAAATTAATCTAACCGTGCCCTTTGTATGACTTTTATTTTTTTTGTTAGTCGGCAGGGAAACTAACATGACATAGGCTAGGCATAATGGACAAAAATATAACTCACAACAAATAAATAAGTGGGTAAAATTTTCACCAAAAATGACAACACTCACAAAATGGCCGCATCATTTTCATAGAAAAATAAATCGATTAAAAAAATTCAATAATTAATTAAATACACTATTGCAGTCGATGCTTGCAGATGAAATGTAATCTTATTCACTTTTTTCGTAATTCCAGCCGTATTTTTACTCGTAGGAATAACACAAGACGGCATAATTAAATTAAAATTGATACTCGTAAATACGTCACGACATGCCACGTGCCAAAATTGACTGATCGTAGAAATTTCATACTACTCCAGTTATGAGTGGTTTTAGGTGCTACAGTTTGAAGCGCGATGACGCCTTCTGGTTTGTTCTGTATTCTGAGTATATTAGTATAGATAGTATAGATGGATGGATGTTTGTTACTTTTTGACATACAAACAAATGAACAAATTTTGATGAAAACTGGCACCGAAATTGATTATAGTCTGAAATACTATATAGGCTACTTTTCATCCGGGTAACCATAGTTATATAATAGTAGATTGTCAATTGGCATTTATACGCTGGTTATTTAGGGTTGAAATTTTAGAGTGAAAAATTTAATAAATCGCAGTTTATGAGATAAATGTTCATCAGTATTTTATAGCATAGCACACAATATAGCATACTGCTCGTACTACTTACTTGCTGGCAAGCAATTCCGTCTGCCCATGGATACCCACAGTTCCAAAGGATTTGGGGATTAGAGAATGGGGATTTGGGCCTTCAGTACGTATTCACACGGCCAAATAAAATGCAAGGTTTGGCTGCTGTGTAACGTGTCTCGGGTTCGATTCCCCCACATAACAAAATTTTGTGTGATCCACAAATGGTTGTTTCGGATCTGGGTGACTTGTTTATTTGAATGTGTATGTTGTAATCGCTCCCACGACCCATAAGAAAATCCTAGTTTAGGACAATGTTTGTTATAATAAAAAAGTTTGCCTAAACATAGCTCTTTCTAAGTAGGGCTCCAGCTTGGCGGACTGACGATATCCGCAGGATGGCTGGCAGTAGTTGGATGAGAAAAGCTAAACATCGAGCTTAGTGGAGTGCAATTGGGGAGGCCTATGTCCAGCAGTGTACGGAATCAGGCTAAGAAAAAAGTAGGGTAATGATACATTTGTGTATTTATGTATTGTGCTCTAACCCACAACACCACAAAGTTTAAAACATAAGTTACTTAGTCAAATTCATTGGTAATCCTCAAATACGTTCCTGCTGTAATCTGAACGAACTTTTCACCCCTCAAACATGTTGGGTAATCCCTTTATATCCCCGTCGTTACCCCCCACTAATCTTAGAAGTAACAATATGTTGAGACGACAACTTAATAAAGTCATAAATTACCTACACGTAGCTCAAATTACATTTTAAGTAAATCAAAATGGCGGGTAACATAGGCCGGCTGACAAAATTTTAATTTCACTAGGCGTCTAAATCCTTTATTATTTTTCGGGGGTCGAGAATTAGGACGGATATAGATAATGAGTTTCGAATAATCTTTGTCAATTTTAATTACGATGGTAATACATTTTTTGGTCAGTTAATCTGTATATTGTAACTGTGTATATAACTGAATTTTCTTTTTATATATTACCTAGAGGTAAACAGTCGATGCCGCCTATCGGTCGTTATGCATTTTACAACGTCCTGAATCCCTAAGGGTTAGGGGATTGGAGATATAGGCCAGTGGATTTGACCTCTAGTAACCTCATATACACGACAAAACGAAACTCGAGTGTTGATTCACGCTAGTTTTTAGTAGAAGCGTAATATAGATTTGACAGAACTATTTTCCCTGTTTCTATTTCAGGTCGATATCGAAGTTTGGGGATCGTGGTCAACTTCAGGGTAGCATCTGGATCAAATTAAATAAAAATGTTCTTCTCTACCAGATTAAACGAATCGAAAATCGAATTACAACTATAGGTACTTAATAATTAATTTCAAAAGCTACCTAATTGGTATTACCTCCTATAACCCTAATATGAAAGAACATATTATGCTATAAATCCCTTAACACAGCTTAAAGTCAGCGAAAATCCATTAATACAAGTTTGTTAATAAATTGCAGTAGATTAATGTGCCCACAAAGTGTAAGGCCACTTCGGATGAAGATGTGGAGTTGACATACTGCAGTCACGAGCAGAAGATTTGGAGCAATTTGATAGATGATGTCGTAATAATTTTTTGGGGATAACGAGAGAACATCACATTCTTACTTTTTTGTGTGATAGGGCGACAATCCGCTTGGTTTATGGGTTGGGTCACTCACATCAGGGGAGTTCCAAATGGAGATTCGGAAGCTAATGGATTTTGGGAGGAGATGTAGGATTAGGCCTCCAGTAACCTCACATGGTGAAACATAACGCTGTGGTGCTTTCACAGTGGTTTTCTGTGAGGCCGTGGTATCACTCCGATTGAGCCAACCCATTCGTGCTGGAGTGTGTCTCCCTCACACTTTTTTATTTAATAGAGGCTTGGCCCTCAGATAAACCTGAACCTCCTCATCTGTGATCTCCAAGCGAAAAGCGTGGAAATTTTAACAAACTAGTTTTTGCCAACAGCTTTGTCTGCAGTATCAAGGTTAAAAATAGCTGAGGTGTTATTCCAGACTTTAATTTACCTTTGTGCCAAATTTTGTTCAGATCTATTTAGTAGTTTCTACGAGACAGTGTAACAAGCACCTATCTACAAATAACTTTCGTGATTGTGTGATTGTAATATGTGTAGGATTCTTAGATGTAGAGGAAGCTTATGGCAGGTTTTGTGTCCTTTTTTTTAAGGGGAAAATCATCAAATGACTTCTCCTGTCCAGGGCTAGGTGATATAGAGTGTCAGACTCTTTCTGACTAAAAACCCCCTCGTTCCTTCTCCTGCTCTGGGCCGAGGCCGCGGTGACTACGGCGCTTAACCCGCAACCCTTTTGTGTCCTACTGTCATGCATTCTTATTGGCCTGATGGCTGTCTACCCCAATTGAGAATAATAAGTCTAATAATAAGTGTGAGGGCTATGCTTCGGCACGAATGGGTCGGCTCGACCGGAGTGATACCACGGCCTCACAGAAAACCGGCGTGAAACAACCACAGCGTTGTGTTTCGCCGTGTGAGCGAGGTTACAGGAGGCCCCATCCTTCCCCACTCCCAATCCCTCCTCAATCCCTAAATCTCCAAATGATTACTTACCATCAGGTAATCCGTCTGCTCGTTTGCCGATCTATTACATAAAAAAATATATATAACTTAAACTTCTGCGTAAACCTTGAACATTGTTTCAAGAAAATTAATGAAAACGCAACGTCTTCGTAAAATAATTCATCTTTTCACCAACTGCCTGCCTCCAGCTCTTTTGATTGATTAATTGTTGTAATTTCGCTTTAACTTAGCTAAACGGTAATTATTGTACCGTTCAGATTATTTCTAAGAGATGTTTATTTTAATTGGCCACTTTAAACTCTGGCAGTGACGTTAATACTCAATAGTTTTATTAATTAAAAAATTGAATAAATATATTATAACTGTTTTTGGCGAAAGAATTTGTCTATGGATGACTAAATAATTTAATTGGGTTGGTATTAGAATATAAAGTACAAAATATGAAAAACTCAAATTAATTAAAAGTATTGATATTTCTTTACTTAAATCGAGTAGAAGAACCATGCTTCGGCATGAATCGGTCGGCTCGACTGGAGTAATATCACGGCCTAGCAACCAACCGTTATGTTTCGCCATGGGAGTGAGGGTACCGGAGGCCCAATGCTTCCCCTCCCCCAATCCCCAAATCTCTAAAACTCTCATCCCCAAAGTCGGGCAACGAACTCGTTACTCCATGGGCGTCACCAATTGCTCTTTACTATCAGGTAACGTAGGCAACATAATGTTTTAAACTGTATAAATACTTAGTCTCAACATAGAGGTCCTTCTGCAATACGCTGAAAGGTTGCTAATGTTTGTGCGTGTGTACAATGTTTTCTGGAATTCGTGCGGAAATAAATGTAAAGAAAAGTAAGTAAAACAAGAGGTGTTTTACTAACTGTGCACCCAGAATTCAGGTTAGAATTACCTGAGTTGAATTGATAGATGTAAATTGAAAGTGTAGGCATAAACCACCTCAAAGAGCCAATAGACTACCACAGACGGTGCCCTATAGGGCTGATGTTTAGCCGGGGTTGCGGGGTAAGCGCAATGAGGCACAGCGACCTCGGCCCAGGAGGAGAAGGGTTTTTAGTCAGTAAGAGTCTGACACTCCCTCACGCCCGACCCTGAGCGGGAGAAGTCATTTGATGATTTTCCCCTAAAAAAGGCATACTTAATCCACCAGACCAGCGAACTGTGCGGATCTTAAAGATCCGATAGATTACCATAGACGAGGCCCAATAGGGCTGATGTTCAGTCGAGCGGCTGAGAGCAATTATGTACCATGTGTAAGCGCAATTATGTACCATGGACGGGCTTGGAGCAAGAGAAGAAACTGAGAGAATGTGATTTGTATGTTTTTTTTTACACATTAATGACACAGGAGAAATACATACCCATTGTGTGCCGTGTAACACTAGTATATGTACACGAAAATCGAATAAAAATACATTACAGTGTGATGTAAATTTATTTGTATTTCAAACAATACGTTTCATTTACATCGACGGATATATACATATTTTTCCCTTTTTAAATTCGAAAAAAGAACGGCAGGTACTAATACCAATTTATCGGCTTTTCGGAATACCGGACATTTTCCATAGATATTTTTTCAGTAGGCACCTTGGGGCGACGTCCGATGGTCCAACGCACGCAGTTAGCAGACGGCATCATCATCATCATCATCATCAGCCTATAAGTGCCCACTGCTGAGCAATGGCCTCTTCTCATACGGAGAAGGTTAGAGCATTAATCACCACGCTTGCTCAATGCGGGTTGGCGATTTCAAACTCATAATTAGAAATTATAAGTCCTGGTTTCCTCACGATGTTTGCCTTCACCGTATGTCACTGGTGTCTAAATATTCATAGAAAGTACATATAACTCGGAAAAAGTCACATTGGTACTTGCCAGGTTTCGAACCCACACCCTCATGCATGAGAAGCGGGCTCCTTAACCTTCGGGCCACCGCGACATGTATGTACATGTAGCAGACGGCGATGAATAAAAAATAGAAAAGGACTGTCCCAATGTTCTAGAAAGAACAATGTTCAAAAATTTAATTGGGATTCGTAAACGGTTTTTTTTGTTTTTTTGAGATAGACCCTAATACTTACTCTACAATTTTTTATGGTGGGCAAGCGGGCAGGATTATCTGATGGTAAGCAATGCAAAAAGCAAAGATTTAGGGATTGGGGGAGGGGAAGGATTGGGCCTCCGATAACCTCACTCACACGGCGAAACACAACAATGTAGTTGTATCACGCCGGTTTTCTGTGAGGCCGTGGTGTCACTCCGATTGAGCCGACCCATTCGTGCCGAAGCTTGGCTCTCTCACACTTGGCATGACTAATTTGTATGATTTATAATTTAGCGACTCAACTCACGTGCTTTGAAAACACAAAAATATTGTCACAATTTTCGATCCAAAGATAGGTGACGTAACTGAATCTTTTAGAGACAAAAATACACCTCGAGAAACCCCTTTGGGGTAAAACCGACGGGATGTTATATTGTATCGGAAGTATACTCGGAAATTTGAATTTCGAAACACACCATGCGTTACGGAAGAAAGGGAAACGATATAAGCATATTCCTTTTTTGAATTAAGAAAAATGATATATTTTAATTTTTTTTTTAAGTAAAGAAATACAGCATGGTACACTTTAAAACGCAGTTTAGTATTTGTTCTCGTTAAAATGTGTCACATTGTTCGTAAGAATTACGTTCTAAATTCAAAATCTGGTACATAACGTTTAATCAGACAAAATTCAAAAAGTATTTATAGAATCTAGACTAGGCACTTTTAAAACGTAAAAACGACAGAGTGAAGCCCTTCATGTTTTACAAATACTTATAAGTACACAAAACTCACCCTTATAAATAAATGAACATACTTTTCGTTTGTTGGTATTCCTTCCACGTAACCGATATCCCGAAGGTATTTTAGCCCAATTCTTTGCTATGTACAGAACCACGTAACAGTTTATATGGCCTAAAACAACAAGAAACCCTGAACATTATCTAGTCTCTGAAAACTAAACAACGAAATATAAACATCGGTTGTAAGTACACTCATCTAGCTAAGTTTTTGTGATAGTCAGACCAAAGTCGGCCACGTTCGGGTAACTTCGGCAAAGTTCGGCAAAACTTCGGCGAACTTCGGACATTTTGGGAACAATAAAAGTTGTAACAAGTTGGAAGACTAATCTAGATGGTTTCGTTCGACGTTAGTATTTATTGTTAATGCTGTTTTTAGGAACTTTGACGTTTCTTCGGTTGATACCGACGTGACCTTCAGAATAAGGTTTGGACGAGCCTAAACTTTGTTTTAGATTGAGATCTGTGTATTGTATCATTGGGATTAAATAACGTTGTTTTACTTCTTAGGTAACTGATAAAGGCGATCTGGTTTACTTGTGGAATAAATAGATTTGTTTGATTTTGTTGTATCAGAATGAATTGAATTGAATTTGATTGGTGAAGTTTTCTTTACCAACTAAAAACGATCCTTATTAATGTTATCTGAATTGACAATTTTTTCTCTTCAAAGTAATTAAATGGTTACTCAAAGTATTCCTAAGTGTGGGAGAGCCATGTGTCACCACGAATGGGTCAGCTCGACCGAAGTACCACGGTCTTAAAGAAAACCGGCGTGAATCAACCACAGCGTTGTGTTTCGCCGTGCGAGTGCGGTTGCCGGAGGCTCAATCCTTCCACTGTCCAATCCCTAAATTCCCAAAACCCTAATCCCCAAAATGTAGGCAACGCACTCGTAACTCCTTCGTTGTTGCGGGAGTCTGGTTGCTTACCATCAGGTAATCTGTCATCTCGTTTGCAGTCAATAAATCACATAAAAAATCTTTAGTATCATTTTGTTCCGAAAACAATCATTGCTATGAACTAGGTTAAGTAACAATTAAACGACTCTGAGTATGGAAGTTAGAAAAATATTTAGTAAAGTTTGCTTTCAAAAATATGCGGTTGAGGCATCCATTTGTATTGGGTTCGCTTGAGTGTACTAGATTCAAAGTCATTAGAAGACACAAACATGTCTAGCCAGGCTCAAGTTAGGTCAACTACAGTCTAGTTGAACTAACAAGTGAACAACTTGGAAATTAAAGATCAATTTCAATCAATGGAGTTTCTTGCCCGTTCTTCTCCATTCGAATCTACAATTTGGAATTAGCACCTAGCTTCACTGACAAACAGACTGACAGACCACTTCTCTGTTTTGACGTTTCAGAAGTACCTATTTATGGTTTAGTTGGAATAAATGATTTTGACTTTGACAATTAACGCATTGGGGTACCTAGGGTAGGGTACCTAGGTACTTAGGGTATCTTAGGGCAAGAAAACCCTTTTTTGTCATGGCTAAAGTATCAGACTTTTGGATTAATAAATATTAGTTACAAGTCTCTTAAAGATGATGTCTACTGTCTTAGGACAGGGCTGCTGTTTTATTAACTAGAAATTAAAGCTTCGGATTTTGAAATGCTAAAGTTACTTAAATGCGATGTGTGAAACGAATTTGTGACCACTTCAGTACTTGGACAAGGAAGAAACACGAATCACTTTGTAATATGCCATCATCACTACTAGTAGTACTACTAGTCTATGAGCATCTGGGCAAAAGGTTCTTCTCATACGGCTAAGGTTGGGGCATTAATCAACATGCTTGCTTAAAGTCGATTAAACTTATAATTAGAAAATGTAAATCTAATTCTAATCAGGATGCTTTCCTTCAACCTGTATCAGCAGTGTTTAAATAACTTGGAAAGTACATTTCCATCGATAAAGACACATTGATACTTGCTTTTGGGGAGGGGGGGGGGATTAATAATATCCCTTTTTTGGCCTGGATGGGACCAAACTTATAGCCTATCAGACTCTGATTTTCATTGACTAAAACCAAAGGAACAGATAGAAGGAGGAAGAGAAATAACAGCCTTCTTTTACTCCAGGCCCAAGCTACAGCCCCAACAATTTTAATATTGGTGCTTGACTTGATTTTAGATTGACTATGAGTCACACCTCATGCATCACAATTTCATTAAAGATTAAAGTCAATTACTTAATTTATGATAATTATAACACTACTCAGAATCACAACCACACAACCACACACTCATCCACTCAATAAGAATATCATTATGTACCTATAATTTATACAGTAACATCATCGACTGACATAGATAGCTGCCTTCTTTATAAATGTAGCAACACTTCTGTGATATAATTCTACTTTTTCACGTGTTCCTCATAATTGGCGAAATGAATCAAGTATCTGTTTTAGTTGTAATAATGTAATTTTGTAAGCTGTGAAGAACCTTTAAATAAATAAATCAGAAGCGAGCGGCTTTACTTCTGGGGTACCACGAGCAATAATCCCAGGCAAATGTCTTTACGATCACTTCAATACTGCGTTCAGGTAACACTAGAGCACATTGTATATAAAATCTGTCCGATACATTGTATTACTTAGATATTATGTTGCTTCAGTCTGTCGGTCAGTTTACTGCCACGTTAACCCAAGACTAAGCTTAACAACTGTTTTAACTTGTATGGGACATTGAGGTAGAATCACGATAAGGGGTCACACCTCAAACTAGCTAAGTTTATAAGAAGTCAAATGTCACATTTCGTTCAAAAATCGTCTCGAGTCCCGAGTTCATTGAAATTAAAATTAAAAGTAATATGTGACATGTATACCACAAAACCCACATGCAACTATTTATTCACTTAATTTATTGCTTACTTTGTGTTTCGCCGTGTGAGTGGGTTACCATAATTATATCTATATCCCTCCACTCATCTCCTAATCCTCAGTCCTCAGAAACAGTCACCAACGAATTCATAACTCCTCTGCTGTTTCGAGTGTTGATAGACGGTATCGATAGCTTACCATCAGGGATGAGGCGCCTCGATTACTGGGCGGCATATCGTAACGGCCAGCAACGCTCTCGTAACTTCTCTGTTGTTTATTTATTTATTTAATTTACATGACTATTTGACTATTGTTTTAAATACAACTCTAAGATCAAACTGTAGTTAATCCAATTACATCTATCTTTATACACACATCTGGGAAAATATATCTTTAGAATCTACCACTACAGAACCTCCTTACTCAATGCAATCCTGTAAGAGGTTTACTATCAGCGGAAATTATCACGAACACTGTCAAACTAAATTTCACTCTTCTCCTTTGGAAATAGAGTCCAATATCTATTGACATGTGTGACCTCCTATTGTTAGATTTATAGTATAAGAGGCAACAGATGGCGCTGAATGCAAGCTGACCTGAAAGCTGTCGCTTGTCCAGGCTATAAGGGAAAGATTGCAGAAATTCTCTTACGACCATGTTTTTATTTACTTTGCTATATAGTTTACTGGGCAGTTTCGTTGACCGTTGTGACGTCTTGGGATCAGAATAAGTTTCAAGGTATGGGTATTATTATATTTTGTAATAGTCGCATGTATTGGGGACTTGTATGTACTCAGTAGGCATAATAATAGGCTGATAAGAACTAAAGGCGTACTCACTGGTTCGTGATGTCTATGTATAAGCTGAAAATGATGAACATCTGGGCCTCCAGTGACTTCAGTCACATGAGAAAACACAATCTGTTTTACGCTTATATACGGTAGAGCTGTGGTATCACACTCCGGTCGAGCCGGTTCTTTCGTGTCGAAGCATGGCTCTCCCACATTTGAGCGTGCACTTTTTTGTGAGGGGTAAATCATCCAATAAATTAATTCTGCCGCCTATAGTCACACTCTTACTGACTAAAAACACCCTGTTCCTACTCCTGCTTTAGGGTGAGGCCGCGGTGACTTATTGCACTTAAAACTTGCAAAATACCAATCTCATTTTTCACCAATATTTCAAAGCTGATTTGTGAGAAAATCATAAAATTACTAGGAAGTGTCAGACTATTTCTTATTGACTTAAACAAACCCGTACCTTCTTCTGCTCCAGGCCTAGGTCACTGTACATTATTGCGCCTGCCCTGCAACCCCAGCTAATATAAAGTCGGTTAGATTGAACGCGCTAATCTCCAGAACTGCTGACCCGAAATGAACAACTGTTTGTTTTAAATTGTCAATATATTGAGGAAGGCTATATATAGACTATAAAACATCACGTTAAACCACTTAGAAGTAGATAGTTGAATATAATATTATTAAAGGAAACACTACTCAAATGCAATTTAGTTTCCAGCGATTTATATTGTAAATCTGGAAGCAAGTTGCCCGCTGGTAACGTTTGGCCAAATTAGTGTTAACTCAGCACTAGCTCGATTTATTACTTCAGGTGCACTTTGCTCTCCGGTCCAGTTAAATGCCGGTAATAGGAACTGGAGTTTAAGGACTTGAGACCCCGAGTGTACTTGATTTAAGAATGAGTTTATTAGCTCGGATTTGGGTTAAATACTTAAACGATGGTCTAGAAGTTGATTAAGTGTTTTTTTATTAAAATTGTTCAATAGTAGATTTGAGTCTGGTATTTGAACGAATGAAACGAATATTTTTATGTTTATAAAGCAAATGTTCTTTGGCCTATCCTTATATTTTGCCAAATCATACCTAGCATATTCGAACGCATGAACTAAATGAAACCTTAAAATGTGCAACCTATGTATATAGCATTACTTATAACATTTTTGAACGGTTACTGTACAAAAAACTGTTTATAAATAATTCAAATGAAGTGATTTCAATGTTAAAACATTAAAGGCACGAGATGATTCTTCAAAAAAAATTAAACTCAAATGACAAATAATATATTTCAATCATGTTTTAAAATAAAAAAAATCACTGCCTTGCTGACTGATATTATATACTTTGAAAAGAGTGATAATACTTGTTTTACACCAAGAAATAGATGTTCATTTAAAAAAATCTGTAGAATATAAACGACATGGCGAAAGATCACGAGCGAACTGATATTCAGCCGGCATCCGAGTGCCTACATCTTTGCCGCCGCGGGCTTTCCACAAAATGAACAAAAAATCACCCACAGTCAAGTTTACTTTTTACTAACTCCGAGTATTGGCTACAAGTGGCGTGGAGTCGATAGCTGTGAAAAAAAATCTGGAATACCTCTCTAGTATTGACCTTTTTAAGTTTTAGTGGTGTAGGTATATTTTAGCTATCGTGTGATTGAAGATTTATTTAGTTATATTAAACAGATAAATATGTGCACTTTGTGCCTCTTAATTAACTAAAATCGCGGGTTACTCACGTGTGTAATTGAGAAAAGCTCTACTAGTTTCGAACCACGTAGGGGTTCTTCCTCATGAGCAGCGTGCGCGGACGCGGCGACGTCGCGCAACCTACTGGTTAGCGTTGGCACCTGCATCGCTGTTGATGGTTGCGCTGCGGCGAGTCCAACGCGCCAGCCTGGACTCGCACGCTGCTCATGAGGAAGAACCTCTCTGTGGTTCGAAACTAGTAGAGCTTTTCTCAATTACACATGTGAGTAACCCGCGATTTTAATTTAATTTAGTATGTCTCACGATAGTTATTATAAAACATTGTGCCTCTAGTTAAGGTTTATAAATTTTATGGATACCGTGTCGTGTTGTGTGTGTGATCTACAAATTGTTGTTTCGAGTTCGAATGTTACACGTTTGTGAATTTGTATGTATGCTAAACGCACACACGACACAGGAGTAAATATTAGGGTGAGACAAAGTTTAAAAAAATTGTCTGTTTCTAAGGCGTTGAATAGGATGAGTAATTTTGTTACCTGTTTGCAGTGATTACGATTAGTTTTCAAGCTCACGTCCAAACCTACATGAAGATTATCAAACTTTTGACAGTATATTTATTTGAAAGTACTGTGTGACGCCATGATTTAGGACATTTCATACTGAGAAGTGGCATAGTCAACTCACAACGCTGGACATAAATGCGTTTTATCTAAACATCTAGGCGCCCAATCCTTCCCTTTCCACAATCCCGAAATCTTCAAATCCCCAGAAATCCAGCAACGCACTAGTAACTCCTTTGGTGTTGCGGGTGTCCATGGGCGGCACCGATAGCTTAGCATCAAGTAATCCGACTGCACGTTTGACGACGACCACCAAAAAAAGTCTAGTATTATTTAAAGAGGTTTTTAGTTTTCATAAACTGTCATCATTCCTATTGTGTGTATATTGTATAAGATTGCTGGCAAAGGCTTATCCGTACGTATATTTGCGTGACCCATTTAAGTTTGATGAAGTTCTTCGGAAATAGATAATGGAATTCCAAGCCTATTGAAATTGGGTCATCGAACGGAACACTACAGAATGGAAATAGTTTCTAGAATGTTCCAACTAGTGAACTCTTAGACGTGGTACAGTAACTCAATGCGATTGGGATATCGCAGAGGTAATTTTGGAAAACAAGATTTAGTTAAGAGCGTACATCCAAACTAATATTTAAAATATTTTAAATTTAACAGATGTAGATACAGCGCGGTTAGTTTATTTTAGTTATTTCCACAGCATCATGTCATACGGTATTTTGTTGTGGGGGAATGCTGCTGACATTCAGTCTATTTTTGTTCTGCAGAAAAGGGCTATTCGATCAATCTATAATCTTAGTCCGAGGCATTCGCTCAGAGAATTATTTAAGGAAACTAAGATAATGACGGTTGCCTCACAATATATTTATGAAAATGTAATTCACGCTCATAAAAACAAAAGCTTATTTAAGAAGCATAGTGATATACATAATATTAACACGAGGGGGAAAAACAAATATGTTGTCCCTGCCTCCAGGCTTCAGAAAATAACTAGTTCGTTTAGATGTCAATGTATACGCTTTTACAATAAAATTCCTAGCGATATTCAAAATTTGAGCCTCAATAAATTTAAAAGTGTAATAAAGGCTAAACTTTGCTGTAAAGCATTTTATAAAATAAAAGACTACTTAGAGGATAGTCAGGCATGGGAATGAGCCGCTGTAATGTCTGCACAGGTCATGTTGACATGTTTGTAACATAAGTTACAATTTTATATACAATTTGACATTACGTTTATTTTTTATTTTTTATACAATGACATAATCACCTATTGTGACATTTTATTTTTTATTTTTTTGACATTTTTTTTATTTATTTATTGACATTTTTATTATTTTATTTTATTGTTAGTGTAAGGACCGTGTGAGACTTGCCGTGCTTTTTGATTACCAGTTATCTGCGTTCTGACAGTTTGAGTACTTGCGCGACCCACCCAAATGTTCTTTAGATCGGTATTGTTCGTCGGACAACTCAGCAGCACTAGCTGTACTGGTTGCAAACTGACACTTGCGTGCCTGTCTTCAGAACGGGTCCACTTAAACTGGTGTGGTTCTTTCCTCAAAAGACCACTACAGAATGAACTTGCACGATTCTCTCACATTATGTTATTTTTACATTGTCTGGACTTGAAAAGAGACTGACCTCTGAGTTTGTTTCGGCATTTCTTCTCAGAGTAGTCAGATAGGAAATGCCGGCTTCATCTAGTTTTTCACATATAAATTGACGTGTAAAAGTGCCGTTTTATGGCCTATTTGCAAAAATAAATTCATTGTTTCATTGTTTCATTGTTTCATTGTTTCAATATTATAAATGCGAAAGTAGCTCTGTCTGTCTGTCTTTTCTAAACTACTGAACCGGTTTCAGTGAAATTTGGTACATACATAATTTGGAACTCGAGAAAGGACATAGGATCGTTTTTATACCAAAAATTTGCAGAAAATCGCTATTCTATGTGAATGGAGTGGCGGGCAAAAGCTAGTCTATACTAATATTATAAAAAGGCAAAATTATTTCACTTATTCATTGCTACAAAGTTCCCGAGTGCTACAGGTTAAAAAAAAATCATACTACTACAATCAAAAGGAGCCAAGCGACGAGTGAAACCGCGCGGGAGTAGCTATTGTTTAATAAGAAAATAGAAACAATATAAACATAACAGAAATAAAAGAGTGAAACCTATTGCTTATCATCAGGTAGTTTACTTGGATGTAAATAATGTTAATAACAAATATGTTGGGTTTAAAATTATTGCACCTACGTATTGAGTCTGCTGTTCGACCAAGTGTACCTGTGTAGTGTGTGTGTGTGTTTCGTCGTGAGAGTAAGGTTATTGGAAGTCCAATTTTCCTGCCTTAAATAATTCTCGAATTTCCGAATGTTCCTAAATCATTCACCCAAAACCCAACAATTATCCATACACATGTGAATATTAATCTACCAACCACCACATCATATCCACCAACCACGATCAGACGCGGAACAACAATTTGTGGATCACAAAAAGAATTGTACCATGTGGGAATGGAATCAAATTAATTTTAATTCCTGCAATCAAGAGAATAAAAAAACCCATGGCAACCTTTCCACGCCTGTCTCTATGCTAAGCATAAAGTTTAAACTCCATTGAATACAATTGCGATGCTTTTTAAAACGCGTTTGACTTCTTGTTTCAGTAAAATTATATTCGAAAAGTAATTTTCAAAGAGAAAAACTTGCCTGAAGAGTTTTTCAGTACTTTTTTCCATTCTTCAAAGAGCACTTTTGAACGTTTGATGTGAAACCACCGCGGTGATCTTTTTATAGCATTCTAGGGCCTAGGTTTTTTAGAGAACCAAGTTTTCTTTGTTGATGTCTGACCTTAGTTCTTTTGTCGCATCGTACCTGTAATTTCTTCAAAAACAAACATTTGGAAATTTGAACTTAATTTGTGCCAATTGTGTTTCAATATCATAATAAGTTAGGTGTAGTTCAACAGTTGTATTTTATAGGCGCTCTCGATTTTTCTCAAACCGATGCCCTACGTTAGGGTATTACATTTACAAGCAAACAAATTCACATGCACAAGCCATCCAGATCAGAAGCAATAATTTGTGAATTACACAAAGTGTTGTTCCGTATGGGCGCTCAGCCCTGTGCCATCCGTGCCAGTTCTTCGTGCCAACTTCTCGTGCTCATGGTGGGGCGAGAGGATTTGTCTAATTCTT